TTTTTTATTGGTCTTATGAAGTATTCTAATTTGTTGAGATAGTGAATTGGTGGGTTTTTGTTAAATGTGAACCAAAATCATCACAATTAAAAGAACCAAAGACTTAAACTACTTCAGTCTGTGTGTATTGAATTTATTTAATACACGAGTTTCACAATTTGAGTTGAATTACTGAAATAAATGAACTTTTCCACGACATTCTAATTTATTGAGATGCACCTGTATATATTAATTTAAATGAATATTTTATTACATATTTAAATTTTTTTAATTTAGCATTTTTTTGGTCATAATGATAATAAGGGATTTAATTTAGTTAGATGTCTGCACAGATGACAGTCGCTCACAGGAGGCTCCTCATCTACTGAGAGAGACAAACAGGAAGCATGTGACACAGCTGGCAGGATGTATGTTTATGGCCTAATGCCCTCTGCGTGATACCAGCAGCTTCACACACTATGTGTGTGAACTAGTGCTGTTAACAGCATCCGCGGCTGACAGCAGAAGTCAGCTGCCTGTTGAGAACACATTAGTGTGTTTATATGTGAAGACAGAGGCTGTGTGTGACAGTTTGTTTAAGATGATGACAAACAGAAGTAGAGAGGAAAGAGGTCAGCTTTGCACAGGCATTAGAAAACTCATAATTCATCCCAAAGGAAAATAAACAAGAAGTTATATTTTTATATTATCTATCTATCTAGCTATCTATCTATAATTATTTGCATTGTGACATAATTATTTTGACAGTTAAGAACATTTCACCCCCAAATTTGTATTATGGTAAATGAATGAATGAATTATTTATTTCAAGTAACTTTTTAATGGTTTTAATTTTAATTTCCATGTCAGTTAACTATAATAACTCTTATTACAGTAATGAGAATAAATACAAATTGTTAATTGTCATGAAAGCAATGCCACAATGCAATAAACATTAAAGGTTTTAAAGGTTTAATTTTCTCTAAAAAAAAATATATATATATATATATATATATATATATATATATATATATATATATAATATTTTATTTTCCTATAATTTTGGGATGAAATTGTAAGTGTCATGCATGGTGGGTTTTTTATATTTAGTGAACTTTCTTTTCTTTTTGTTTTTTTGTTTATAATAATAAATAAAGGTTCCTTATTGGCATTGATGATTCAATGAATAACCTCCATGAAACTGCACAAAAGCTATATATATATATATATATATAATATTTTATTTTCCTATAATTTTGGGATGAAATTGTAAGTGTCATGCATGGTGGGTTTTTTATATTTAGTGAACTTTCTTTTCTTTTTTTGTTTTTGTTTATAATAATAAATAAAGGTTCCTTATTGGCATTGATGATTCAATGAATAACCTCCATGAAACCTTTCCATTGCACAAAAGGTTCTTTATAGTGAAAAAAAAAGGTTAATTAGATTTTTTTTTTAATGTTCTTCATACTAAGAAAAAAGGTCTTGGGTTCTGAAAACCCCTATGTAACCTTTATTTTTAAGAGCGCATGTCTGCTCTACAGCATAAGCTTTTTCCTGCATGGTCAAAAATTAACAAGCAGCATCCGTTACAGGTGTCAAGTGCTTAGCACTCCAGCGCTCTTAAAACAGGTCCCTGTGTGAGCGCTAGCAGGCTCATGTGTCTGCATTACTGTGGGACGGTGCTTCAGCGCTGTCGAGGAGAGGTTAGCCACAAAGACTCTGTTGAGTAAGCAGCACACACGATCATCACACACACAGATGGACGGCCTCATTCACAGGAGATTAGTGGCCACAACATCACACACACCTCTGGCTAGAACTCTCAAAGCCTCTGAAAGAGCACCACCAGAGGGGGAAGACTTCAGACAGGAAGGGGAGGATGAGGAGGAGAGGAAGAGGGCGGGAAGGAAGTGAAGATATCTGTATTTCACATCTTTGGACAGATTTGTCTCATGCTCGTCTCAGCTGGTAGAACTCAACATGACTTGTTGAGAAAAAACATAAGGCCTTATAGGCGCACTAACTTATGTTTAGGTTTTCACTGCTTGACCCAACTTAGACATATACAGTGTTGGGTGTAATGCATTTTTAATTAATAATGATAATTTAATTACTTTTCCCATGAAAAAAAGTAAAGTGATTATTCTTATTTTTTCTGTAATTTAATTATAGTTCTGCAATAAAATTTATTTCTATATTCAGTTTTCATTTTAATTAAATATTTTGTTATTTTGTTATGTGCTTTTGTCATTTTTATTAGTTTTTTAGTTTGAGTAAATATTATTATTAGAATTATTATTCAGTTAGTTGCCAAGGCATAATTTCTCATTTTTGTTTATGCTTTTTAAATTAAAGTTCATTCTTTTCATCTAATATTTTTTATTTTATTTAGTTTTATTTTATTTCAGTTAACAAAAATGATTCTGACAAAATCAAATGTTTTCTATTTAACATTGCTATAGCAGAAATACTCTGCTCACATATACATCTTTTCTCATTAATTTATTGTGTACATCATTTTAGAAATTTTTCAAATTACACTTTAAAAAAAAATTCCATTTTGATCCATATAGATTTTCCACAGGTGTTTTCACCGTATTTTAAATTACAAATTGCTACACGTCCGAAAACTTAACAGAAAATATTGTGGCAGAAAATGATGAGTACCTTTTCTGTTTTTATATGGATACTTCCTTACTCTTTAAGTTTTTTTACAGTGGAAAAATTACTTTAAAAGGATGGTTCTGTCAAAAATGAAAATTCTGTTATCATTTACTCTCCTTCATATTACTCCAACATGAATTTCTTCCATCTGTGGAACAAAACTAGATGTTTTGCAGAATATTTAGATCACTATTTTTAGTACAGTGAAAGCCAATGAGGTTGTTAAGCTCCACAAGATGCATAACAGTACTTACATGAATTACATGTGCATTGCATGTCTTCTGATACCATACTTGACATATTTCAGTATAATTAACCACAAATATGATTCGAGCTCCAATAAAAATTTCAATTTAAGTATGTTCCTCACAATTTCCTCATTCAGTTTCTTCCACACAAGAAAGAAAGTCACACGGAACGACACGAGGCTGAGTAAACGATGACAGAATTTCCCTCTAAGCTAAAGAGAGTTGTAGTTACAGACTGCCGTTTCAGAGGCAGATTTCCTGCTCTGTTAGATTCTGTTGACGATCAGATAACAGAGCGAAAGTCCCAATCTGGGAATTCTCCCTCTAAATCTTCAGTTTCTTTACTCATTTCTCTCTGTCTCAATTTCTTCCCTGAGTAAACTCTGCTAACCTTAAGAGACGTCTGGCAAGGAAACAAAACTTTGCTATTAGTTTTCCCTTAAAAGTTGTGTCTGGGTGAAGTGGAATAAGTTTACCCCCAGGGCTTGGCGAGGGTATATTACTCTCAGCTCTGAGAATGGTACCTTACAGACCACCGGTGTTGCCATGGGAATAATCCCAGCAGACAAAAGGGAGGGATCAGCAGGGGAAATCAATGCTGTCGGGCTTTGTGGTTGGCTGGCACAGAGATCAGTCATACGTACTCTGGGTCACCAGGTCAGAGGCACACGGCTTCAGAAAAGAGCGCAGACCATCTGAAAAGAGAAGAGAAGAAGGGAGGAGAGGAGGAAACATCTTCGTCTGTGTTAATGGAGGGATGAATTATCTTTGGAGTATTTAGAGGCACCATATACAAGTACAACAATAATTGGTTCCTGTAGTTTAAAAGACCAAACGCAGCTGGAGACGAGCCATTCAGTGTGTGTGTGTGTGTGTGTGTGTGTGTGTGTGTCAATCATGTGATGTGAGTTACATGACAGAATTCACATCATGTCCAGAAACCAGTACACACGATTGAAAAATTGCACTTTCTTTAAAAAACTAGTTTTTTTGTGTTTATTGTTGGTTTTTCCCTGTGCAAATGTCATGATAATTCCAGAGTATTTGTAAGCTTGCTCGCCAGTGGATCCTCTGCAGTGAATGGGTGCCGTCAGAATGAGAGTCCAAACAGCTGATTAAAACATCACAATAACCCACAAGCAATCCACACCACTCCAGTCCATCAATTAATATCTTGTGAAGCAAAAAGATGCGTGTTTGTAAGAAACAAATCCATCAAGGCATTTTAACTTTAAACTGTCACTTCTAGCCATAAGTCCATAATTCATTATAACCCTTCCATCTGAGAAAAAGTCCATTCACTGTTGTTCTCTCACATCAAAATCCACCAACATAGCTGTTTAGAACTGTTTTGGACTGTTTTTGCTTATAAAAAGTGTTTGATCTGTGCAGATTTCTCTCCTGATTCAGACTTTTTCACTCGAGAAAGCAATATTAAGGATAGAGGACTCATATTTTGGCCAGAAGCAAAGGTTTGAAGTTAAAAATGTCTTAATGAAGGATTAGTTCATTAAAAATGTACAGCTTTTTACTTCACAAGACATTAATTGATGGACTGGACTGGTGTGGATTATTGTAATGTTTTTATCAGCTGTTTGGACTCTCATTCTGATGGCACCCATTCACTGCAGAGTATCCATTGGTGAGAAAGTGATGTATTGCTACATTTCTCCAAATCTGTTCTGATGAACAAACAAACTCATCTACATCTTGGATGAGTACATTTTCAGCAAATATAATTTTTTTTTGCTGAACCATTCCTTTAAGGTATCATTCTCAAACAGCAAAGAACGAGTTACATCCTAAAGTTTATATTTAGTGATTTAGTGATAGGAATTCATTTAAATCCATATGCAGAAGCATGAGAAATAACAGTGTTAACGGTTGCCTTAACAAGCAAAACTAATATGAGAAACCATTTATTTACTATCCTAATTGTTGTTTTTACATCCCATCCTCCAACAGCTGTTTCAAGAGGTACAATAAGGTTTTTCTGGATTCGCTACAGCTGCCAACACTTGAAACACATTATAACCAGAACGCTTCATTGGTTTGGGAGTTTTGCCACCCTGAGACCCCCAGCAAACACCATTCAGTGAAACCTGATCTGGGATTTCAGCCCATTTAAAGAAATACCGAAATGCTTTATTTGACTCATATGCATCTTTTGTCTCAAGTTGCATTTGGGACGTTTGTGTCATTAGGACCGTAAAGCCTTCTGAGGGTTTATTGTGGTGTCAAACACTGTAAATGCTGTTATTTCTGGCTCTCACTGAAAGAAAATGAAGCTGTAAAAAATACATGTAATCTTCTTTTATATGACGCATATGGTTTACACCGAACACGTGACCTCTACACAGTATTGTGTATAAAGTATGAGATCCATCCTACTAAAATACACACATACCAAAAAAAAAGAAATGTATCAAATGTGTGTGTGGGGGACGTTCATTCATCCATTTCCAGGAAAATTTGAGGCTTAAGAATATGAGTCTCAATGTTTGGAGGTTGAGCCGTTTAAATGATCAGACACTAAAATTCAGTTTCTGCTCCGCTCATATAGCCTAATGAATATTCAGAACAAAAACACAAACACACACAGCTGTCAAGCGTTCCCTTCATATCCACAATATCTTCCCCCTGCATTACAGCTAAAGAAACAAATATGATGCTTGCACTTGATAAAACACCTACATTAATTATTTCGTAAAGGCCTTTTTCTTATTTGCTCTGTGAAGTTTGACCTTTTTTAAAGTGGGAACACTTTTCTAATAGTTTCCAATATAATTAGAATTTGCTCCATGTAAACACTCCTTTCTTACTGGCGTGATCATGACATTGAAGTTGAACTTTATGCAGACATGGTCAAGCAAGTGATTTTATCACGCTAGTCTTATGTTAACTCAAAAAAAAATTTAATCTATAAGGTTTATGCTTTGCCCTGTTTACTTCATTGTAAGAGCCTTACTGTAAATACAATCTTTGCATATTTTTCTTCTACATGATTTTCTCTAATAATTGACACTATGCCAAAATATTAAGTTGAACTTGTATTGAAACCGAAACATCTCTCTGCTTCAGTCTGTACTGCTCTGGGAAGAACCAGAACGATCAGAGAGGAACAGTGCCACCTAGTGATGATTCATTCTCTCACACAACTATACAAATATGGTAATGAAAGGCCACTGAGCTATGAGATTAATATATCTGGCAACATCAATATATTATCATATTTGTATAAAACGTTGCTTTAAAACAGAAAATTTGGAATGACAAACAATACAGAAGCTCACTTTCTCAATCACACACTCATACAAATTACAGGTATAAAGTGTGTTAAGTTGTTTCCATCCAGGCACAAGTGTCAGTTCAAGTGTTTTGATATACTCAAGTTATATTTGTACTCCTTGGCAAGTGCTCATTGGCGAAGCTGGTTTTGTAGAAATGTTTGGACAGCGTGTTTGAATGGCAATTTAGAAAAGTGTTTAAAGTCTTTGGCGAGAAGAATTGATCCTGAAAAGCTCCTTTAGGTTTGTTATATTGCAGTTCATGATTAAATGTTCCTCAAGTCTCTCAGTGTATAAAAAAAAATTAAAAGCTAGAAAGCGTGAATTTTTTTTCTCTCCAAGAGATCCCGTTTTTAAAAGTACATCTTCACACTGACCTCCAACCTCAATACAGCAAGAACCATTTCCTCCAGAGGTGAAACGGCAGTTGTGATTGGTCGATGTTGACTGATTATTGTTGTTAGATATCCGAGTCTGGACAGTCTTCCTCAGTGCTGAGGAAGGGCGGACTTGTGTCTGTGGTGCCGTATGAATGGTGAATGCTCCATTCATCAGATTCAGATGATGCATCTGGGTTCAAAACTTTGGGAAGATACACCTAAAAAGGAGAGAGAGAGAGATTTTGGTAATCTCAAAGTCTATCAGGATTTTAAAAAAAATGTATGTAATATAAAAATGATAACTTGCCGATGCAGATGAGCTCTGTGAACCTCTATCTGCGTCTTCATCTTCCTCCTTAACCTGAATTATAGACAATTACAGTTATGCATTTAGCAGACGCTTTTATCCAAAGTTACTTAAAATAGAGGACCAAAAGCAATATTTCACAGAGCCAACAATATTTGAAATATACAATGCCAGGTTTATAAGAAAGCAAGATTAGGGGACAAGCTGAGCAGAGGAGAAATGTGTGTGTGTGTGTGTGTGTGAATGCATTAGTTTAAGGTTATGGGGTGGTTAAACTATAACCATTAAATTATGGTTAAATTACAACAATGCACTGTACATTTTGATACAACTTTGACACAGAACAAAGCAGCTTACCTTGTAGTTGTGTGGACTGAGGTATTTGAAGTGTCCGAAGCAGGTGTAACTTAAACAGATAAAGATGGTCACACAGAGAACCACTAAAGTGAACATTGACGTAGCAGCCTTGAAGCCTGTGGAGACACAAAATCAACATATCTCCACTATGTGACTCACATATATGAATACAACTGTCTGAGAAACACTGATTTAATTAGCCAGTTAGTGGACGTTACCTGTTCTGAGCACAGAGAAGAAATAAAGCCACATCAGGCATATGATTGGTGCAGCCAGCGCTTGATTGACAGCTCCCAGGTGAACTTGCCGATCGAGGCGGGCGGGCAGGTAAGCGAAGTACAGGTTGTGTTTGTCCACCAGGTGTTTCAGCAGCAGGTACAGCAAACCTGCACACACGGCCTGTGTGTTAATGTGATGCTACATACACTAATACTGTGTGTAAGGCCTTGAGGAAAGAAATCAGACCAAAGGGAACGATGACAGGACAGGTGATGCTGTATGCCATGATGACTGTGAACACGCACAGAGTCCATCCGTACATCGCTCCGTACTGAAACTCATACGCCTGATTCTACACAGAGAAACAAAGAACCAGAGACAAGAGATTACTTGTAAGAGTGTATCAGTAACACATTTTAGTAAATTCTATTCAAATCAGACATATTTTCAACCTGATGTCTATATAGCATGATAGAAATGTCAATGCTTAATTAAAATGAAAGCATAATAAATAAATTAAAATCTTTTTTATGCCATGTTGGTTAAAACGTAACAAGTTCTGAAGCAAAAATTCCAAATCCTTTTTGAAAGATCAAATGCCACAGACGGACCTGTTTAACATATTTCCTCTCAGCAGCCGAATGTGCGAGTGCCAGACGAACAATGTAGAGCAATAACCCTGGCAACCGCAGCAGCTCCATGCCAGAGCCTACCAGAGCCGCCGCGATCACGTAATTTACAAAGAACGCCCCCTGATCAGGTAAAAACACACACCTGAAACACACAGAGAAAAGAAGATGGAGAGTCACTGATATATTTAGGTGCATGTCACAAAATTATTCTGATTTGAGCAAATAAATCACCAGGATAAATACACAAGATACTCACTCAAACCTCAGCTTCCCCTCAGACTGCTTATCAAACAACCAGCGGAAAAACACGTCTAGACTGAGAGGAAAGAGAGCACATCTGTATCTGTATATATGCTCACTTTGGGAACATTTTAGACCCACTGTGCTCTAATCAAAAATACATTAATTAATGGTTTTAAATTATCACAGGTGGGTGGGTTTCCTAGGACCAAGTTAACAATGTTAACAACGTTAACGTAACCCACAATATGGCAGCACAATTTGGGGGGGGAAAATTGTGATTTATTTTTTTTATCAATTATGAAAAATAAACAAACATGCAAATAAATTAATTAATTAATTAATTTTTAAAAAATTGTGAATGCAATTTAAAATGTAATTTTTTTTCAAATCTCCAGGTTTTCTGTGATTGTTTGTAGGGCTGCATATTTTGGCCAAAAATGTTATGATTATATCTCTATATAATAATAGTGGTAGTAGTAATAACAACAACAATAATAATAATAACATATTCAAACAAAATAATAAATACTACTATTGTAATATTTTATTGTGAAATAAAAAAAAGTATATATTAATTATAATAACAACATTAAAACAAAATTAAAAATACAACATACTACTAATGTAATATTTGACTGTAAAACAAAAATTTGTATCTAATAATAACAATAATAATAATAAAAACATTGAAACAAAAATAATAAATGCTACTATTGTAATATTTTACTGCGAAATAAAAACATTGCATCTAATAATAATAACAATAATCATCATCATCATCAGCTCATACCTGGTGAGGCCCAGTGAGGGCAAAATCAACACCATGAAGATCAGGAAGATGTAGAGCTTGTACATCATGCTCATATTTTCGCTGGACCTTCACACGCACAGATAGAGGAGTATTATTAATGAGCTTGTTTGTGTGTGAGTGCGTGTATTTGAGTTTGATGGTCTACCTGGTCCAGTGGGCCTCTCCCAGTGTAGAGTAATACACTATGGTGGGCAACAGGGCCGAGAAGGTCCACAGCAGAATAGTGGGGAAGAACTGACTGATAACAGCACTCTGCAAACACACAACACACTGTCTTCACACCACTGCACTTCATGTGCTCACATCATTACACATGTTCAGTCACATACGTTCAGATAGTGAATGGGCTTGGTGACATTAAATTTGTCCATGGTGGTGATGATGATGGAGGGCGTTGTGAGGAAGAAGAGGAGGACAAAGAGTGCTACATTTAGCAGCAAAAAGCGTAGCCACCAACGCCACCCACGTATTGACAAATTCTCCCTGAAAAAGATGGAGAGGTTAATATTGTGAATATTGTTATAATCTTCTCTATAAACTCTAAATATAACAGATTCCATTCCAACAAGGTATAATGGTACATACCAGTAGATATTATATGGGTGAGGAGCGTAATTCACTTTCCATTCGTTCACCCTAAGTTCTGCGCTCTTAGAGGACGGCTGAGGCTCCCGGCCACACCCACACCTGATTCCCCCGCCCATTTCTTCTCCAGCCACACCCCTTGCCCCGCCTCCACACTCCAGAGCATTGAAATCTTTCAGAATACTGTGAGGAAAGACAAACGACACCGAGTGCAATGGTCAGGTTCCAGAATTAATAATTCCTTTCATTTTCTCCATAAGGAAATACATTTTTAACTAACTTCTAAACCTAAAAAAATCCAGACTAAGAAACAAGTTTTTCTTTGACTTATCACAACAGATTTCACCTTAGATTCTAGTAAAAACAATGTGGCTTATAAGGCAGTATAATTCTGCATAATTTTTATACATAGGCAGTTGAGTCTGAGCGTGAATCACTTACTAAGTGGCCATGTACTCATTTTGCAGAGAGACAAATGCCATGCCCAGAGGATGCAGTTCTTCACTCTGCTTCAGTTTATCTTCTTCCTCACGCAGAGCAGCCTCCTGTGAGCTGTAGAACTCTATGGCATCAACCTACAAATAAACACACACGTTATTTAGACGCCCAAAGCTTGAAAAGTCAAAGGCCATTGCTAACGGTGGTAGTACTTACCTCTTCACAGCCCTTACAGCAGCAGCAGCAGCAGCACAGGTGGCTGCATGGGCGCGGGTTGATGACCTCACGACGTCCCTGGCGCTGGAGTATCTTATTGTAATGTTGCAGGTTTTTTTCTGCCCGTTTTCTGTTACAAAATATTACAATAAAAATAACATATGACACATTTTTTTAATTTTTTTAACTTTTTTTAATTAAAAATGTTACTTGAAAAAAAAAAATTATAATTAACTGAAATAAAATATTTACATTTTTTTTCTTCTAATATTTAGTTTAACTTGATGCGCTGTCCTAAAATAACCAAGAAAAATCTTAAAAAGTAATAAATACTAAACATATTTAAAAAAAAAAAATTATAATACAAATTTTAATAATACAAATGACAAAACACAAAATAGAATTATTAAAACTCTTTTAAAAACTAATCTAAATGATTAATAAAGACTGTAATAGTATTTCAATAATACTGGATCATATAGGTCTGTGAGAGTATGTCTATAAGATCTATGGACAACTTCGAATAATATCGGATCAAATTGGCTTTCTTACCTGTTTCTGTTTAGGTCAATCAGTTTGGCAACATCATAACACAAGTTAACATCAGTCACTTGACAGGTAGGGTACGCCTCCCTGCAAACAAATATACAGCCAAGACACACTAAAACCTTTAAAGTAAAATATGTCATAATTTCTGTATTAGAGGCAGAAAGGCAGAAATGCAAAAGTAATTTGTTTCTGAACACATCTCCCATCTATCTTCCTTTGCTCATAAAAACAAGTAGTCCTGGAATTAAAACAGATTTCAGTTCCATTTGGGACCAAAATTACACCTCATAATTATCCAAATTAAGCATAATGGCTATTATTTAAGTATCATCTTTATCTGTAATGTTAATCAATTCCTGTGAATGACACGTAAATATATGCTGCCCAATAAGTCTTTGCGATCCCACTGTCCCACCCACACACTGTAAGCTGAGATCATGCCCTGCATGCTGAATGGAACAAATAACATGGGGATGGGAAGGAAAAGCTGTCTGGATATACGGCTAAAAATAAAGTGAACAGAATGAAATCTTGGAAAATCATTCCCACTTACATGAAGTGAGTTTTTATGCCCTCATTACTGGCTGCAGTGGGTACAGACCTCACAAACAGGGTGTTTCTGGCCTATGGAAAAATAAACTAGGGTCAGATCATGTATGTGTGAGAGAGAGAGAAAGAAACGGCAGGACGGCTTACTATCTCTCTCTTGGTTCCCTTCATTTTAGAGGTGTGTCGTCTCAGCAGGGCCACCGTGATCATGAGATACAGAACTGCAAATACTGTGTGCAGCCAAAGCAGCGCATCACTGCAAATACATCATATAAAATACAGTTCAAATGGACACACACTGATACATTCAGACATTTGTGCATAGATACTTACTGTACTTACCCCTTCTTAAGATTCCCTATGGTGGTTCTCCCGAAACTGTAGGGATCATTGCCTGGAACACAGAAATGAGTCAGACTTTTTCCCCATCAGAGATCAAAATCTCCAAAACTCTGTCATGATTACATTTCATATTTCAAATCATCAGGAAAATCGGACAACAACAGTATCACCAATCAAATCATGTTTAAAAAATATATGAATGTCTTCATATCAAAGTCACATCAACAAAATATTATACATTAATTATATTATACTACATCATATTATATTATTAGAAATTAATAAGTATATATTCAATAAATATTCAAACAATTATGCTGTATTATATATACACTTCCATTCAAAAATTTGTGATCAGTAAGATTTTTAATGTTTTTAAAGAAGTCTCTTATTTATAAGTCTCATTTTCATTTCAAAAAGGCTCGCCACATTTTATTCATTTTTCTATGTCAGTGTCTCTGGTATTAGTCAAGTCTCTGTTTTAGAGAAACAGTAAACAGTGAGGCAGCTCACTAGTTTATAACCAAGCTACTGTATGAAGGATTCTTGAGACCGCATTGAATTTTCCAGTGTGCATGTGTGTGTATGTGTGTGTGTTAGATACCCAGCAGGTCGCCAGATAGATTGACCGGTAGAATGATGGTGACGGACAACACACAGATGATCAAGAGCAGGATGACCAGGTGCTTCTGAAATGACAGATAATGTACTGCATCCACCCCACATTTCTCCTGGACCGAAGTCTCACTGCACACACACACACACACAAACCACACACACATCAGTTTCACATCTTAGTTCATATTAGGACTTTCCCATGCAAACTTCCCTATTTGAGCTCAGAAAAAAGTAACAATATTAACAGGTAAAAGCTGTCGAGTTGTAAACATGTAAAATGAATATGTAGCACCAAAACAGCACTTACTCCATATTGACGATAAAGTTGATCCAGGAGCAGCAACCCTACAGGAAATGAGGAAGATGTTGATGATGTCATGAATGATGTCCTAATGAGGATGACGATGAGGTCAGAACTCACCTTCTCATATTCGGGCTCCTCAACGGACATGGATGACGTCATTCTACTGTAACGCCGTTTAGTAGCATGTCTGAACCTGCAGCAACAAAAGACAGTGCTCTTCATCTCACCGTTTTCATCTTCTCTATTTAAAATGATTTTTTCCTAATTCAAAATATGATAAAAATATACAAATATTACACAAATAAAATAATTATAAATAAATATTATAAAAATAAATATAAAATATACATTTTATATTTTTAAATAACAATTTGGCTAGTTTAAAGCTGCAATTTTTTGTCTCACTAAAGACAATTTACAATAAATTATAACACTGTATGTTTCCATAGTGACTACTACAGTTTTCATCTCACATACCTTTCAGTCTCTGCGACAAGAGCGAGTCTCCCATGATCCCACAGTTTCCTTCTGATCAGAGTGAAGACTATTAGCAGCACCTGCAGGAAGATACACAGCACCGTACCAACCAATCAGATCACGCAACTCGAGCAGTTCAAGCCAATCGGATCCCAACTAACTGCTGAACTTACCACGAAGAGCAAGAAGTCGATCAGCAGAACAATGGGCACTCCTCCAAAATTCACCCCCTTCAGCACGGTGCTCTGTGTGGCACTGAAACAGCTGCTGTTGTCCACATGGGCTGTGCCATTATTCACCGACACGGAGAGGCGCTCCCACCACGCGGAGGCCATCTGGAGGACAAACAGATACAAACTGCACAATTTGACTTTTGCTGCTCCTGAAAAGATCTGCTTCGGTGACACATATGTCATCAGCATCCCAGATGACTATAGTTTTTGTTTGTTTGTTCATCTTTATTTATCCATGGAAATCAATTAAGAATTATTTTCTTATTTACAATGACGGCCTTTCAGGAGAAGAACATGATCCTGCACATGCCTGCCTACACACATTACATTCACATCACATCACATCACATCAAATAAAATGATTAAATAATAAAAAATAAATAAAACAAAATAATGAAAACAAATAAAATAATAACAATCAATTAAATTAAAATAATAATAAATATATTCATATTAAAATATAATAAAACAATAAAAACACAAGAAAATCAAATTACATAAAAATTAAGTAAATACAGCTATCTAAAACAGATACAGAAGTTGTTCAAAGCACTCATTACCAATGAAAAAAAAAGATGAAGGATGATAAAAGATAAAAGTAAAAGATGAAACAGAAATATATGCATCAATTTGTATTATTAAAAGCTTCTAGAAACATTTAGAAGAATACTTTATAGGCCTAGTGTGACAACGTTACAGGTTGGTATTGAAAATATGTTTAAGATTAGCTAGTGTTAGCCATATTTGATTCAAAGCATGAATCTTCAGCGTTGTGAATGGCATATCAGTGCAAGGATGTGAAATGTCACATGCACTTCAGTTCAAACTCTAGAGGGAGTCGTTTATAACTTTATTGCAAACAAAACACAATTACACAATAGCATAAATCACATGAATATGTTGCATCAGCACACAAAAAATTTTTGGGGATATTTATGAACATGATAGTGCCTTAAAATGCTTTATTACTTAAGATCCTAGATGATAGATTACTGGTGACTGTATTGATGTTAAATGTTTGAACATTATGCTTACATTCGATATAATCCATGGTACTAAATGCTATAAGAATGTGTTATTAAAGTAAGGCTCAAAATATAGCCACTAGCTCATGAAGTCATAATCTTTCCCACTCCTCCCACTGACTATGCCTTTGGGTGGGGTCTCCCATAGATCCTCTATTGCTTTCAGAGGATTTGTTTGTTTTTTTGGTCAGGTGACTCATGACATCTTTCTTACTTTGTCTTTTGATGCATTACAAAATATCAAAGAATAAAAAACGCATTTACTTGAGAAGAAAAAAAATACCCAAATTAAGTGAGTTTATGCTTTTTAAAAAAGAAAAATATCTGTCAGTGGGGTAAGAAAAATAATCCTGCATTCCCTTTGCTTTGGGTGGGGTCTCCCATAGATCCTCTATTGCTTTCAGAGGATTAGTTTTTTTTTTGGTCAGGTGACTCATGACATCTTTCTTACTTTGTCTTTTGATGCATTACAAAATATCAAAAAATAAAAAAACGCATTTACTTGAGAAGAAAAAAATACCCAAATTAAGTGAGTTTATGCTTTTTAAAAAAGAAAAATATCTGTCAGTGGGGTAAGAAAAATAATCCTGCATTCCCTTTTAATTGTTTTTTTCTCACCCCAATGACAGATATTTTCTCGTTTTAATCATAAACTCACTTAATTATGATACGTTTATCAGAAAATAAGACTGACATATCTTAAGAAATTGTGTTTCTCAGTTAAATGAATGCTGATTTAAGAAGGTTTAGATACTTGGACTGAAACATACGATAAAATTATTAAGTAAAAATATCATGTTTTGTAGACTGTTTCTGCCCTATGAACTCCCACAGAATGTGTCAAAAGAAAAACACTCAAGACACTCACCAGTGAGAAATTCTGGGTTTGCAATGTGTCTGAACAGACTGTGAAATCACATATATGTGAGCGCAGAACATATTTCAGCACAGCTTTTATTTAGAAACATCTCAGTAATTTCACATATTGTAAGGATGGTCGAAAAAACATTTTCTCTTTCTACTTCAGATTCATGATCTTGTCATAATGCATTAGATGACTTACATCATACTCTATCCCAGTTTAAGCAATATTTTGCATGACTGAAAACAACTTCTTCTTTATGTGGAAACGTATTATTGCCAAACTGACAGCTGGACCAGAACTGCCACAACTGTCGGTGGTTGAGAATAAAGCCACAATCGGGTAGCTAAACGGTTAACTAGCAGCTAAACTAAATGTCGTTAGACCCATGAGAGTATGTAAACACAGCTAAACTAACACTAAACTGACACATACACCGACACGCTGCCAGCGACGTCGTGACGATTCTGTATAACGCCTATTTCGTTATAAACCGAGACACTGAGTGGCGCTTTCTCGAGATTTACAAATAAAACATGTTATGAAACAAAAGCATACCTCGGTGGAATTTTTCTGCTTCTGGACTGTGCAGAACCGGTCGAGCTGTCCGCTGAGAGTAAACTAACTCAACTTTACACTGACTCACATCCGCACATGCGCAGATACACCGATCTCCGCCCAATGTACCAATACACACACCTTTTTTAAATTAATTATCATTGTATATAACATATATATATATATATATATATAAAGGCCCAAAATGACTTCGGGAATACAGAAAATAATAAGAATAAATTATTAAAAAATAAAATCAAACATAAATAATGTAGCTATAAAACTTATGTTAATTAATGTGTATTGTCCCTTTTAAATAAAATAAAAAACAAACAAACAAACAAACAAACAAAAAGTATGTTTTCCTTTCTCAAGCATAATGACTAGGCTGTATACCGGCCATTGCATTCTCTAATATGTTGTTCTTTCAGTCAATTTTTCAAACAACCATGACTTTGAGACAAAATAGAGTGGAATTACAAAATGTTTTAAAAAGTAGGCTAATATAGGCCCATAAAGAACAGGCAAAAGCACGCACGTCGATCTCAACTGGGTGCTCGACTGAGAAACAAGCGGATTTTTTTTTAAATGTATAAAGTCGGCAACACTAAAGCTCCAAAAGTATCAAAAAACTTATTTTATAAAAACTCGCATAGTGTATGTGACGTTTCGAGCACGCAGGCTCTTCATCAGACAAATGAACATCACTGATGTGCCAATCTTTATAGGCCTACCTCCAGGTGATCAACGTTCACATGACCGTACAATATTATCATGATAATAATAATACCAAAACAATGACATAACCAAGGAGAAAACCCAAGAAAATAAATAAATAAATGAACAAACAACAAAACAAAACATATAAAGCTATGCAAAATACAAAAATACAATTCTCAATGTATTATTCAATAACATTAATTGATGCCTGCCTACGTACATAAAAGCGTTTATTATATATAAATAGATATCTTATGTTTAAAGAAATGGACGAATATCAAAGTACGCTGTAATATAGGCCCATATCCGTAGATGGAGTGTGTGTAAGGCTGGGGAAGGCCCACGGGGACTTAAGGCAAAAATGCCACTAAATTGGACAAAAATGCCCCTGCATAAACAAATTAAATCTATTACGTCTGTTGCTTAAAAAGTGAATATGAATAGACAGTGTCGATTGCGGCGTTAAATTAAGATCTGCTCATGTTGCACCGTATTTCATTTTAGGCGTTTTTACAGCGTTGCGCATTTTAACCAATCACACACAATTCTGTTGAGCTTAGGAATGCGATGGCCAATCAGAGGCGTTCAGATGAGTCATCGCTCAAACTCATCAGTTTTGTTGAGTGCGCGCCCTTTGCTGACTGAATCCCGGACTCTCGCGAATTCTCTCATCATAAACAACAAAGCGCAGATGTCCTACAATGTAAGAAAGAGATTCATTTAACAGTCTATACAGCTTCAGTGATTATAACAGTTTTGTTTTTTGAGAGTGCTTAAACTGGCGATAGATCAATATGATAGTCACTTTGAATAACCGTAGAAAGGAAACGTTGTAAAATTATCCATTTCTAACGTTTTTATTAAATTGTAATCACGTTAAATACAAATTCAGTTTCATTAAACATTTTTTTAACCTACATGACACCCATGTCTGGTTCTTGCCTAAAAAGACGGGTTTATGGTGTTTAATACATTTGGCTGCTTTTAGCCTTACCCTGGAGTTGGTTCGCCCTCAGCTGCCCATAGCTATAAAGATAAATACTTTTTCCAAGTAAACTTTATGAAGATTCTGAGTTAAAAATTACCCTGTACATTTTTATTTCTTTATCCATTTAGTTGTAAAAAAAATATTAGAATAGGTTTACAGGAAAACACTATTTCAGTCTACTCTAATTCAACGTAGCCTATCTGTGTAATTATTTATTCAAATTTAGCAATTACAGTCAATTATTTTCAGTGCATAAAGGTGGCAATAAACAATGAATTGGTGCGAAACAACATGCAATAAGCTATGTGCAATGCAAAGTAAATGTATTATTTATCCAACCATGTTATTAGATTGCTTTCATGTGTCGAAAATAGGCAAAAATGTCCAAAAAGCGTCTTATTTAATTGGTGCATCCTCACATTTGGCTTAAATAGATTACCCCAACCCTGAGGGGGAGGAGAGCGAGATGAAGAGAGTCTGAGCCTTTACAGTGAATCCCATGTGATTGACAGGGCGGCTATATCCGTGCAATATCATCCCGCTCACGTTCTCATTGGCCTCTCCGTGGCCCTCCGCGTCTCCATCTGACTCACGAATTAACCCCCGCCGCGGCTGGAGAAGGGCGACAGGTTCCCTAATCAGCGGCTGATTGCGGCGCGGCGCTCGGGGAGAGAGCTGCGGTGATTGGGGGTATGGAGGCTTTGATTGTTTTCAGTCAGCCTGACAGCTGAGGAATACTGCCTCTAATCAGCGTAGTCAACATACTGGCATGAGTGGCAAATGAACAGTCAAGCACACGAGCCGGCGAGCGCACACAGCCTCGTTTAGATGTTGCGCATGGTTAGGCTACTGTAAATACACGAAATAGAGCGTGGAGCATTAATCCTACTTCTGTCTGTGCTGTGAGCGTTACAATTACTACTCAGACTGGAGATTATTCTAGAGAAACTTGTATTTAAACAATGGTCGAATTGTAATAGAGCGGTAACCGTTGGCCAGTTTTGTGCAGTGTTTACAACTCTTCCATGAACGTTTCTGCATTCACTTGTTTTTTTTAACCTTTGTGTGTGTGTGTGTGTGTGTTTACGATTGCTTAAACAGAATTTTGTGATTTTTGCCTAAAATATAAAAAAGAGCAATAAAAATTAAATTCCAAACAAAATAAAATGCATAAATAAATATCTTTTCCAAAAGTTTTTTTTTTTCATTTATTTATTTTTGTAAAAAAAAAAAAAAAAAAAAGTGGTTGCATATTATTTATAGTTAGCATAAGGTTTCATTTAGTTACATGAATATTATAGTAAAACTTTCAATAATTAAAATAATATATAATAATTATAAATAATATACATTTATTTTACATTTTAATTGTATTATTTTATTTAATTATATAATTTATTCATTATTAAGTCATTAATTGATTATTTTATATATTGTTTTCATTATAGATTCACATCAAAACTTGTTTGTTCATTAAAAGCTTGATTGTTTTCCCTGAGTTGGACACAGTGCTAAATAATATCAATACATATACATATAAATATATGATTTACATTCTGATAACAAGAACATTAAAGACATTCATGGAAAGCATGTCAACCACAAACATTATACAACTGCTTTTTTTGTTAAACGGGATTTCACTGACAAGAGAATTTAGCATAATTAAAAACAATCAATATTATTGATAACTCATAAATGTGGGGTTGATGTAAAAACATTTTTTATTGCTTAAATTCGGGATACTTGAGGTTCTCCTGAACTCTGGATGGTTGCTCTTAATCCGTATGATGAGCTTTTTGGAGCCGCTTACAGTCTGTTTTTGCTGCTTTTCCTCATTCATCTCCACTGGAGATCCAGAGGTCACTGAGGATCCGTATAAGGAATCTGCAGACACACTGACCTCATGGGGCAGATTTTCGATGGACAGGTGAAATGAGGAAAGAGTGCCTGTTGGGTAGGAATTTGAGAGTGACCCGTTTAATAAGTTCTCGATTGCAGAGTCAATAGTAAATGCGCTGTCTGGCCGGTCGAGTCCAGCTCTTCGCCGATCCACTCGTGAACTTCTATGGAACATCTGGTGAACTCCCGAACGCTTCTTTTGAATTCCTCTCTGGTGTTGTGCTCACTTTTAAATAGGATTATGTAATTTGTAATTATTGTAATTATGTATTTAGGCATGAAGTGGCAGATGAGAATTTCATATGCGGAGAAGAGCATCACCACCATCTGAACGTCAGATTTGTACCTGACCACATCAACCATGTTCACATAGATGGGTTCGAACACAACCCAACTGATAATACAGATCATCATGCTGATGCTGATGCACTTTTCTTCATAGCACTTGGGAAGCTTCCGTCCTAGGAAGACGAATCCAAAGCACACTAGAGCCAGAAGGCCGATGAAGGACCTGATCGCTGAGCTCTCAAAAACTTTGGGTGGTTCCAACCACAACCACAGACCGCAGATGATGCTTTGGATAATCACACAAACACCAATGATCCAGTAGAGCAGGAGGAGTTTTCTCATGACCCGTTTGACAGCGGATTCAGTCTGGAAGGCCAGCAGAACCTGACAAGGATGCAGGAGATGCACAGGGTTTGCACAATGTTTTACTGCTCAGCGGTTCCTTTTTTATTTGATTGCAGTGGGGGTTCTTTGGACATTTTTGACATTCATCTGTATCTGGAGAGGAATGAAAAGTTACATCTGTTAAATACCCTTCCATTATACTGCTGCTGAATCTTAATGATTGAGTTTACTCTAAAAGGAAACCAAATATCATAATTTACTCACCCTCATGTCATTCAAAACCAAACACTTTCAGTTCTCCTTCGACTTCTACTGTATTTTTTGGCCACACAATGTAAATCAATGGGAACCGAAAGTGTTTGGTTACCACACTCATCCAAATATCTTCTTTCGTGTTCCACAAAATAAATAAATAAACATGTTTGGAATGATATGAGGGTCAGTAAATGCTAACAGAATTTTTGGGTAATCTATTCCTACATAGAAATAAGAAATAGCAATTGCCTGGTTTATATTGTGTGTTTATATAAATGTAATATATATTTATATATTATAAATTTAAATATATATTTTATTTATATAATATTTCAGATTAAACAACATATTTGCAAAATCTATTGGTCCTAAAGGGATAATTCACCCAAAAATAAAAATTGTCATCATTTACTCACCCTCATGTCATTCCAAACCTGTATGACTTCCTTTCTTCTTTTTTTTTTTTTAATTCAATGTAACGAAAATCAATTAGAAACTTGATACTGTTTTGGACTTTTCATTATATGGACAAAAATATTCTTCGAAATATCTCCTTTTGTGCTCCGCATAAGAAAGGATGTTTGGAACAACATACAGGT